CTGGGGGCCGGACGCCCGAGGCGGAGCAGCCTGGCCGGCCATCTTGGCGCGCCGCCTTTGCCCGCAGGTGTCGGGGCCCGTGCGGGCGGCGCAGGTGCGTTCTGCACGTGCCCGTGGCGGAAACGAGTGCTTGGGCCGGGCGCCACCCCAGCCAGGCCCCCACGAGGGAAAGCTCACTGCCTGGCGCCCACCCTGAGCCCTGCTCGGGCCACTCGGGCCACCAGTGGGCACTCGGTCCGCATCCATGCTGGCCAAGGCCGGGGGCGTCCACGGGTTGTGTTTATCCGAGTCTGCCTGGAAGTGAAACCCCAGAGCCCATCCTGTGGCCCAAAACTCGTAGAGCAGGGGGCGTCGGCCCTCCCAGGTCTCCCTCTGGCCAGCCACGTGGTTGCTTGACCCGCAGAGGAAGGGGGGGGGCTCCCAAGTGAAGCTGGGAGGGGGGAGAATGGGGGCAGCCAGTGTCCCTGCCATGCTGACCCAGCCGTGGCCCTGTGGGTTTCAGGGTGCCACGGGACAGGGCGGGTGGCTGCTGTGGGCAGGCTTCTTGGAGAGACTGTCCATGACTGTCCGTGACTGTCCACTCGTGTCCCGCTCCCGCCGCCCCTGAGGGTGGGTGGAGCTGGAGCCACGGTCTGGCGCAGGGGGCACAGACCGGCCCCATCACGGCCTTACCGGTGTGGGCCTGGCTGTTGCCTGCGGCCGCCCGTCCAGACCCGGCCTGTGACCCTTGCTTGTGCACGCCGGCTGCCGGGGCCAGGCTGCTGGCCGCGGGAGGCAGGGTGGCCGCGGTGCCTGCTGGCGGCCGCGCCTGACCACCACGCTCTCGCTGCAGGTGGGCGTGCGGGGAAGAGACATCGTGGTCCTCGGGGTGGAGAAGAAGTCGGTGGCCAAGCTGCAGGATGAGCGGACCGTGCGCAAGATCTGCGCCCTGGACGACAACGTCTGCATGGCCTTCGCCGGTGAGCTGGCCGCTGGCCGCGGGTCCTGGGGCGGGAGAGCCGGGACCCGTGCGCTGACGTGCCCCCGCGCCCCACGGGGCTCGGAGGGTGGGGTGGTCGCCCAGGACCGGCCTGCGGGCGTCGGGGGGAGCCAGGCCCAGCAGGGTTCTCTGCGCCCCCTCGCAGGCCTCACCGCCGACGCCCGGATCGTCATCAACCGCGCCCGGGTGGAGTGCCAGAGCCACCGGCTGACAGTGGAGGACCCGGTGACCGTGGAGTACATCACCCGCTACATCGCCAGCCTGAAGCAGGTGGGCAGCGGCCATCGCGGGGATGTGTCCGCGGCCGCCGCCTGTGTGGGGCGTCCCCGCGCTGCTGGGCCTGTCTCGTTCCCTCCCTGCGGGGACGCGGCCCTTTGTTCTGCCATCGGCGGCCAGCCAGCCACATGGCGGGAGCCACGGCCCTGCGGCCAGGCGGGCTGGGCGGGCCGGGCGGACCTCCCCGGGCCGCGCGGCGCAGGCCAGGTGCCCCCAGCCCCGGTGCCGGGTGGGACCTGCCCGGCCAGAGAAGGGTCAGGGGCTCGGTTGTCCTGGGGCCACCGCCGGCTGGGCCGGGCCTGACACGCCTCCCCGCCAGCGCTACACGCAGAGCAACGGGCGCCGGCCCTTCGGCATCTCCGCCCTCATCGTGGGCTTCGACTTCGACGGCACCCCCCGCCTCTACCAGACCGACCCCTCGGGCACGTACCACGCCTGGAAGGTGAGGACGGCCCCCTGGCTTCAGGGCGGGGCGCAGGCCGGGCACTGTCCGAAGCCTCCCGAGAGGGACGTGGGCAGCGCCTGAGCCCTCGGGAAGGGGCTGCCGCGGCCACAGGCCCTGGAGCGGCCTGCGGTGGGCATGGCCGGCCGAGCGCCGTCACGCGTCTCTTTCAGGCCAACGCCATCGGCAGGGGCGCCAAGTCGGTGCGGGAGTTCCTGGAGAAGAACTACACTGACGAGGCCATCGACACGGACGACCTGACCGTGAAGCTGGTCATCAAGGCCCTCCTGGAAGTAGGCCCGCAGCGGGAAGGGCACTAGCCCTAGCGGGGTGGGTTGGGGTGGATGGAGCACCACCCTGGCTGGGCTGGCCACCGGGGTTGCCCGGAGCACCGGCAGGGGCGGAGTGACCGGTGCGCTTCTATCCCGCCAAGGTGGTCCAGTCGGGGGGCAAGAACATCGAGCTGGCTGTGATGCGCAGGGACCAGCCACTCAAGGTGACGGCCTCGCCTGGGGGAGGGGGGCAGCGGCTTGCGTCCAGTGCCGTGGCCCCGTCGGGCACTTGGCCGGCTGCCGTGGGGACTCGTCCCCGGGGCTCACTGAAACGTCTTCTCATCTGGTAGATTTTAAACCCTGAAGAGATTGAGAAGTACGTCGCCGAAATTGAAAAAGAGAAAGAGGAGAACGAGAAGAAGAAGCAGAAGAAGGCGTCGTAGGTTGAGAAGTACGTCGCTGAAACAGAGAGAGAAGAAAGCAGCAGAAGGCGTAAGCCTCGGCGGCCCGCGTCTCGCAGACCCACAGTAAACCCCTTTTGTGACCACCCTGGGGCTTGGCCTCTTTACTGGCGCGCGGCCCCTGGGACGCGGGCAGGCCCTGGCATCAGTGGCCAGGAGGTGGCACCATCCTTTCACCGCCAACCAGGCACCAGGTGCGCCGAGCGCGACCTCAGGTCTGCAGGGGCAAAACCGGACTTGCAAGGCTGAGAACGGGGCAGGCTGGAGACAGACACTTCCCCAAGGGGCACGCAAGGCGCCCCCTCCCATCAGGGCACAGCAGACCAGAGCTGTGGGGCACCCCCTCGCCCAGAACCCCCGGCGCCTCGGGCCCCTCACAGGGCTCACTTGTGGGTGTTTTCCCCAGGGTGTGAGGCTGGGGGGGGACCCGGAACGGCACTGCCACGTGCTTGGCAGCGCCCAATTGATCTCCCGCACAGGACTGCAAGGCTCCCCGCCCACGGGCTCTGCTCCAGCGCGGCCTGTGCCGGCTTGGCAAAAGGGACAGATTTGCGCGGATCCCCTTGGGCGGGCGCTGGGCACACAGCGGGGGTCCACAGCGTGACTGTCTGTGGGCTCTGGCCGAGCAGGCGGCCCCCCCAGGCTCAACTAGGTGGGTTGGGGTCCCGGTCTGGCCCAGGGGCCGCGCAGCCTCGGGGCCGCGCAGCCTCGAGCCCGCTTTCGGCCCCCGCCCGTGCAGGCCACAGCTTCCCACCTGCTCCCCCATGCCAGAGCCAGAACCCGGCACCACGGCGTGGACCCTCAGGCTGCTGCCCAGCCAGAGGCCCGCCCCGGCCGAGGGACAGGGAGTGGGCTGACCACACCAGTGACGAGCAGAGCGCCGTGCAGGTTTGCGTGTTTATTTATAGTCACAATTTACATTGCCCCGACAGTGACCCCTGCTGCGTTCTAGTTCTGAGCCAGAGTCCTACAAAAATAAACCCAAGCTTGTGCGGCAACTAACAGCCCGCGGCCTCCATCCGAGGACCGTGGCCGCGCCACGCCCGCCGCAGGCACATGCCCCCCATGCAGCCCGCCCGCCCCCCACCTGCAGAACACAGGACAACTATTTACAGTTGAGGAGAAGGTGCCCGGCCAGCCCACCTGGCTCGGTCCAGTGGGCGAGCCGCCGCGCCGGGCTCCCCAGTCCAGCGCTGCCCTGCTGGCCACAGGGGGCCTGGGGCTCGTCCTGGGCCCTTCCTGGCCATCCCCTCCTGCCAGTCAGGCTTGGAGCGGGCGTGGGCGCCCATAAGCCAGGACCCCCGTTGGGCACCTCAGGGCCAGCTGGGGGCTCAACATGATAGTGCCCCTGCCCGGCCCTGGGTGCTGGGCCACGCCCGCCTAGGTGCCGGGCCAGCAGCACCGGGCCGGTGGCGGCAGAGATGGCGCCGGCCACATTCGCCAGGGAGCTGCTGCGCTCGCCAACCAGAGCTGCCGCAAAGTGCGGACAGGCCTCTGCGCGGAGCCCTCACCCGCCCGCCCCGGACGCCAAGACCTCAGGGTCAGGCTGTGCCAACTAGAAAGGCGGCCGCTGCGGCGGTGCCCACCCCCAGGCTCGCGCAGCCTGAGGCCAGGTCCAGCGAAGCAGCAGCTCAGGGCCCGGGCCTCCGGCAGGTGACGGGCGCCGGCCCACCCCTAGTCCAGGCTGCTCCAGCAGGGGCCTGCGGAGGGGACGCTGCCCTGAGGGTCTGGCCGGCAGGCTCCGCCCGCCCCCCGCCCCGCCAGGGTGGTCCCGGGGGGAGCACAGAACTGTGACCCACTGTTGGAAACGATACTGCCAGGGCTAGATGGGCGGCTGGGAGCTGCCCTGGCTGCGCAGACAGCGCCTGGCGCCATGGTTGCTCTCCTCGCTGGGGGTCAGAACAGCCCCTTTGGCCGGAAGAGGCCCCCCCACTGGGGGGCAGCCCTGCCCCTCCCTCCAGGGGTTGGCGGCCCCACTCACCTCCTGCCTCACACCCGGCCGGTCCCTGCTCTGTGAGAAGTGGGGTTGCGCCGGGCAGCACCGCTGCCCCTGCCACCTCGGAACCCGCCCCGGAAACTGCGGCCACGCAGGAACCGCCCCGACACCCCGAAGGTCTCCGTGTTGAGCTTCCTCTCCTCAGCCCACGTGGTCCGCCTGGAACTGAGCACGGAGCGAGCCTGAAACCCACAGCCGCGCATGGCGGCCGGAGCCAGGCTGGGCCCCTGGGGGGACGGGTCAGAGGACAGCGCGAGGGGCTGCGTGGACAGGCTCGGGCCTGTTGCCCCGCCGCTCGGGGGCACACAGAGCCCTGCAGATACCACCGGGGCGGGGCGCAGGCCAGGCCGGCAGCTGGCCGGCAGCAGAGGCAAGGGCACAGCCGCCTGCAGGCCCTGCAGGGCGACCGGAAGGAAGCACAGCTGCCCCACCCCTCACCCTCGGGGCTTCAGCATTAGGCACCCCGCCCCCACCTGCACCCCTCGACTCAGGGCAGTCACCCCACCCTGCTCACGGCGCTGAGAACAGCCCCCCCCGGCCAGGGTTCTGCACGGCCCACTTCCTGCCGTGCTGGGCCCGGGCTGCGGGGTGTCCGAGCACCCCCAGGCCCAGCCACCCCTGGGAGCAAGGGCAGCAGCAGGAAGGGGCACAGCGGGACACAGCGCTGGGCGCCGACAGCGGGGGGCCGCCCACCGGCCCACCTGGCCTTGAGCTCCGAGGAGATGTTGTCAAAGAACGACTTGGACTTGTCGTAGTAGCGGCTGGGCCCCAGGTGGCCGTCCTCGGCCGGGGCCTCCTCGCTCTGCGCCACCACCGCCGCGTCCTCCTCGTCCCCCTTCTCGGCCTTCTCATCTGCAGGGGACACTGCCGCTCAGGGGCGCCCCGGCCCCTCCCGGCCCCTGCCCCGAGCCCCGTGGCCGGACCTCTGAAGTTCAGCTTCTTCCGGAACTCCTTGTCCAGCTCCTCGCGGTTGAACTGGGCGTTGGCGCTCTCGAAGTCGAAGTCGCCCTCGAACTTGATGGTGTTCTCCTTGGCGCTCGCGGGCCGGTTCTGGCCCCTGGAGCGGGTCCTCGTCCGTCTGTTCCCTGCGGGAGACGGGCGGGCGTGAGGCGCGGCCCGGGCGAGCCTGCACGGCCGCGGGGCGGGGTGGGCACCTGGTCTCCTCCGCTGCGGCCGCCTGTTCTCGTCGTTCACCTGCCCCTGCGTCTGCGCCGCCGGCTGCGCCGCGTCTGGGGAGGTGGCGGGAGGGCGTCAGCAGCAGGCCCGACCTGCCGCAGGGGCTGGGGCCCACGGGCGCGGGGGGACGACACGTACCGCCAGTGGCCTTGCCGGCCGGCTGGGCAGGGCGGCCGTTGAGCTGGGTGCCCACGGCGGCCTTGCTGGGGAGCAGCTTCTTGGCGTTGAGGCTGTCGACAGAGCTGGTCTGCACGGCCTGCTCCACCATGGGGCTCTTGCCGCCCGGGACGGAGGGAAAGCCGGCTCCTGGCGGGGCGGGCGAGAGCTTTGCAGACAGACAGGCGCCGCCCACACCCCGCCCAGCGTGCTCCCCGCGGCGGCCACGTCAGTGGACAGAAGAAAGCAGAACCCGACGGTGCCCTGTGCCGGCCCAGAGCAGGCAACCCCGGGCCGGGGAACCACGGCCACAGGGAGCAGCACCCGCCGGCTCGGGGCCCTCGAGCGCCAGCCCGGGGCACCAGTCGTGACACACCAGGGGTTTCACTGCTCACAGGGTTCACTCTGGCCTGCGGGGACCGGGGTGCCGGCCTAGAACCCCCCCAGCCAGCCCAGACAAGGACCCCTTCGCTCCGGGTGCGGGAGCTGGGGACGCCACGCGAGCCGCCCCGGCACAACTGGACGCCCTGAAACAGGCCTGTCGCGTGGGCAGAGCGCACGTCCCAGCCCACCCAGGAAACTGGCCGTGCCGCCCGCGCTGGGCCAGACCGAGGTCCACCGCCCCGGCCCCGGGGTGACTGGGGGAGCTCCACGTCTTGCCGTGGAGACTCAACTGTGGGCCCAGGGAGCAGGGCAGTGCTCACGCCCCGGGGTGCCCGCCAGGCCACCCTCCCCAGCCTGTCCTGTCGCCTGGGGGAGCGCCCAGCTCGCTGCTGCCCGGCCAGGCAGAGCATGAAGCCAGCCCCAGGGCACGGGGCCTCAGCCTGGTGCAACCCGGCGGTCGGCAGAGGTGAAGGACCCCACAGGCACTCTGCTCCGCGCCAGGTGGCGCAGCCAGCTCTAACAGCAAGGGCCTGGCTGCCAGCCCATGTGTGGTCAGCGCAGGCCAGTCGCCTAAAGCACCGGGCTGCGCTTGGGAAGCACCACGTCCTCACCGCGAAGGCCCTGGGCCAGAGGCCACGGCGCCCGACCCTGGAGCAGCAGCAGCGCGTGGGCCAGGGCCGCTGCCTCCCCACACCTGCAGCCACGCCGGGCGCCAGAGCCCCAGGGGCGCCATCTGACGACCGGGTCGGACCCTGGCCCAGGTCAGCGCCAGCTCTGCCCACGTTTCCGTGTCACCGAGGGGTCCCGGCCGCCCAGCCTCGCCAGCGCTCCGCTCCACCGACACGCCGGGCTGGGCCACCCCGCTCCCGAGGCGGCCGGCCGGACCGCATGCAGCGCTCCCCACTGCGTTACCCTTGGCGGGGGGCTGGCGTGGCTCTGAGGACACGTCAGGCTCCGACACGGGCTGAGGAGACGGAGAGGAGCTAGGGCTGGACGCGGCGGCCGAGGCTGGAGGGCTGGCCAGCTTCTCTGAGGAGACAGGAGAGAGCGTCACGGCACGCGCCCGTCGCCAGGCGCCGCTGCGTCGGGCCGGGGG